TAGTAATGGGAATTCATATTACGTTTTCACCTTCAAATGTTATGCTCTTTTTTTCTTCATGTTTTTTTTTGATAGCTATTGTGTTTCTGAGTCAGGTGTATATTTCAGAATCTCTAGGGATAGAATTCACGTATACATTCACTTTTTTTTCCCCCCTGTGTTGAGAATACACCCCCAGAAATGATTGTCTGGTGCCCACCTCTGGTTAAAAATCATTCCTATTTTCTAGTCCTTTAATTTTATTTTCCTGTATTAGTATATCTAAATTAATGCATAGATCATATGAATAAAACAAAGAGATTGATAAAGCAGTACACTGATTGAACTTTCACTACTCCAGATGTTTAGGAAGGAGATCAACAACATGTTTTAAAAAGCAGCACAACTTTGGTTTCTTATGCAGTCTCACACATCTCCATTGATCATTGTTCAGGGAGGATTCCAAACTAGCCAAGTATGGTAGTTAAATCTGTCAGTGTTCCCTTCTCTGCTTCTCTAAACTAGTACTAGTTTTAGCTAGTTTTCTGTCCCAAGGTATTCTAATCCTAAAGTGTAAACTTCATAAAGTGGATAGTATCTTAATAAATAGTTTAAATTGATTGGCTAAAGATATTTAATAATCTTAGCCCAAGTGTCTTTGAGATGCTTCAGTGTGCTGTATTTAGTGATATTTCCAGGCCTGTATAACCGTGAATGTATCACATTACTAACAATTCTTTTACATTTGTAAAACCTAGTACCCCTTGTGGAGGCAAAAACTCAAAACTTCCCTTTGAATGAATGTGTCATAGTAAGGGTGAGAGAGAGGAATACTCTAGCAAACTCTCAGGTTAGCAAAAATTAATCACATTGCACAGTGAGTTTTCACAACTGAAAATGTTTTCAAACATTTAAGGACAGGTTCTGGCTTGGCACCCATAGTTCAGTGGTTAGGGTGCCAGCCACATACACCAGGGCTGGTGGGTTCGAACCCAGCCCCGGCCTGCTAAACAGTGACAACTACAACCAAAAAAAATAGCCAGGTGTTGTGACAAGCTCCTGTAGTCCTAGCTACTTGGGAAGCTAAGGTAAGAGAATAGCTTAAGCCCAAGAATTTGAGGTTGCTGTGAGCTGTAATACCACACACTCAACCAAAGGTGACACAGACTCTGTCACAAAAAAAAAAGGCAGGTTCTGTTGGAAACAAGACTTTAAAATTTGAAAATTAGTCATGAGGTTTTGCAGTAAAAGTGACCTGTCTTCTGACTTAGTTGCTTATCAAAATACAGTTGAGCAATGGCTATAATATGTTAATTTTAATTTTCTAAGCAGAGATAATTTTACTAGAAGCTGTTTACAGTGGATATTGGGCTGCTTTTGCATTGAAAACAATGTAGTTTGGGATGTTTTATATGTAGGTGTACCTTTCTTCTAGAAAATACAGTTCTGAAGGGCAGTTCTGAGTATTTTTCATTAACTAGGGCTTAAGGGAGCTTATGATTAAAATGAATGACTTTAATACATACAGCATTCTGAATTGAACTAAAAAGCTTTTTTAAACTTAGTACCTACGAAACATCTAAGGGATAATTCTTCCCCCTTTCAATTTTAAAAATAACGTTATATTCTTAAAATCTGTATCATTATGGTAATTACAAGCATGTTGGATTTGTCTTTGTTGTATTATTAAATTTTCTTATAAATAGGATAAATTGAGACCATTTAAAATATTAAAATTGGCTCAGCATAGCTCAGTGAGTAGAGCGCCAGCCATATACCCAAGGTGGCGGGTTTGAACCCAGCCCGGGCCTGCTAAACAACAATGACAACTGCAACCAAAAAAAAAAAATTAAAAAAAAAAAAAAAGGCTGGGCGTTGTGGCAGGCGGCTGTGGTCCCAGCCAGTTGGCAGGCTAAGGCCTGAGAATCGCTTGAGCCCCAGAGTTTGAGGTTGCTGTGAGCTGTCACGCCATGGCACTCTACCGAGAGTGACATAGTCAGACTGTCTCAAAAAATAAATAAAATATTAAAATTATTTTTATTTCAGACTTTTTTTAAAAAATTTTTTTTCTCTCTCTTTTTATTTAAATTAGAGACCTCTATATAATAGAACAGTGGCAGCTTTGGTTTCTTTTTTTTTCTTCAAAGACTTTAAAGAATCTGTTGCAATAAAGAAGTGAAACCTGAATATAGATATATGTGGAAGTGTTGTAAGACAGTTGTTTTTCTGTCAACAATGTATTCAGAAGCCTATACCTAGTGTATTTCTACTCATTTACATTTGGTGTTAGGATCACAGACTTGTATGACAGAAATGTTTCTTTATTGTTTAAAAGCTGGTTTATCTCATTTTCTTAATTTATGATTAATGAGATCTGAAGGTTCATTTTTACTTAAATCTAGATGCATTGTTAATATATTCTAGAAGATGGAAAATGTGATACTCTCAAATCCATCATACACTTCTTTGTCAGATTTTACAGCCCTGAAAACAAGATGCAGCTTAAAATTGATGTTATGTCATGGTTTAATGGAAGCATTTTTTCTTATTTGGGGGTACATAAAGCTAATGGTGCATCTTTAAATCACTGATGTCCAAGATTTAGAAAAAAGTGGTGGTTGATTTTTTTAGTTTGTTGTAATATTTACATTTGCATAATTTTTAAAATCTTGATACAGTTTTGTGATAAAACAAAGTGTAAGTAGTCAGTATATACCATATTAGGAATTCTAGTCCTTCACTAAGGGTTTTTTTTGTTTTTTTTGTTTTGTTTCTTTTTTTAGTGTTTCCTTCAGATCCTTTTCTTTTTGTTCTCACTGCGATCAACCTTGCTAGATGCTTTGCATTAAACTGGTTCCCTAATCTGAATCTTGTACTGAAAAATACCAGAACAATAAGAGAAAAATAGAGATGAAAAGGAGTAAAGGCTTGGGGTATAGGGTAGGGTGAGGTGGGAGTAGTGGGTGGGTGGGACCTCCAGGTTCAAGAGAAGAAAAATGAGGAAAGAAGACTTGAGGGATGTGGTAATAAACATTTTCTGCTTATCCAGCTTTGTTTGTCCACAAATCTTAAGTCTGCCGATAATAATGTATTAGCTTCTGAGCTACCTAGTGGTTAACTAAAGTCAGTCCCAATACATTCTCTAGATTCACCTTTCCTCATGGTGCAGAAATTGCCCTGTGATCCCCTCCAGTCTTCTGAGCAAATCATCTGCTGGTACCTTCTTCTGTAGTCTAAATAGTATCTGTGTTTCCACTTACTGGTGCTAGGTGTCAAAGTAAATAATTAAAGTGAGGAGTCACTTCTTATACAATGGATTTTTCTATAAGGAAATAGAACATATGTGCACAACTAAATTTGTTTTCTTGGTTTGTTTGTTTTTTTTACAGGAGGTGTGACCATATCTTTTGTGTTATTTTGTTTTGTTCTGAGACAGAGTCTCACTCTGTCACCCAGGTTGTAGTGTAGTGGCCTCATCAGTTTATTGCAACCTCAGTAAACTTGACTCAAGCACCTCAGCCTCCCAAGTAGCTGGCACTACAGGTTTGTGACACCACATCCAGCTGGTTTTTTGTTTTTAATAGAGTTGAGGTCTTATTCAGACTGGTCTCAAACTCCTGACCTCAAGTGATCTTCCTGCCTCAGCCTCCCAGAGAACTAGGATTACAGGCATGAGCCGCTGCACCTAGCTCAAAACACTTAATTTAAAAAAACTTTCCTACCTTTCTCTGTCCTTTAGCATTCAGATAGAGATTGTTACAGTCTTTACCTCATTTGACTTTTACTTGCAAAAATAGTTATTTGTTTACAGTATAAATTCATATTGCATGTTTCTGCTTTAGCTTTCCATTCTGTAAACTTTCTGAGAATGTATGCTCTTGAACAGTTTATTCATATTCTTCAGTAATGGTATGTTTTAATTAATTCCACATTTAAAAAGAGTCACAAAGCATATTGGATAACAAACTTTTGGGCAAGATGCTTTTAAAAATAAAAATTTAACTTTTAAGTATAATTAAAATTTCAATATAAAACAGGAATTGAGAGAACAATTTTTTCTTATTTAAAAAGGAACTTTAGCTTTATAAAAATGTTTCCTTCTGTAGTATTTGAACACTTCCAATATTTAGCACCGTGGAGTTTTCTAAATACCCCGCAAGTCCCTCTGGAAGCCACTCTAATTGCTGCCTGGAGTAGGCTTGGCTTTGTCGTGGAAAAAGGAAGAATTGCTGCATCCATGTCTGAAATTTTCAAGTTTCCAAAAGTCTTATTCAGAATCTACACAAAAGTTTTGATCTTCCTTTGCATGTTCTTGAGTTAAGCAGCTTTTTAAAAGTCTCATGTAAGAGTGATCCTTGAATTTATAATTGTGTTATTTTAGAATGTGAAAAATTATAATCGCATTTTATTTTCATATCATTTTAGCCAGGCTATATTCTATAAACTTTTCTGAACTCTCTTGGGCACCAAACTAATACAGATTAGGAAAAGGAAAATGAATTCCACATTATAAATAAACTGACTTACTGATAAAATTCTAGAGCAGGAGTATCCGATTTTTTTTTTTTTTTTCTGCTGCACATTGGAAGAATAAGAGTTGTCTTTGGTCACAGAATGCATACACAAACACCGATGAATGATGATTAACAAAATAAATGTTCCTGCATACTTTTTGTGATACCAGACACCTCAGAGAAACAAAAAACCCCACAAAGTCAGCATGTTACCTCCAGGCCACAGGTTGGACACCCCTGTTCTAGAGCAAGGTCCTTTGCAGTTGGGGGGAATTCTGCACTATTTTGTGCTTTCTATAATGCTTCAGTAAAATAGAGATGGAAATGCAAGGCATTGTAAGTAAAGGTAAACCCTTAAGACACAGTTGCTGAGTTTTATATGTATCTGATAAAAAAGATATGCCAGCTAAGGTGGAATCACTACTCCTTGTATATTAATATTCACATAATTCTTTTTTTAAATTGATGGATAATTTTATTGGCCCGAATTTATTTTCTTTTCTTCAGAGGATGTACTGAGCAAAGATGCTGGGGAATGTGCAATATGCCTTGAAGAATTGCAGCAGGGAGATACTATAGCACGGCTGCCTTGTCTATGCATATATCATAAAGGGTAAGTTTCATTTTATGTTAATCAACTTGGTATTAGAGTAAAAGATTATTCTCCCAGTTTAAAACATTGTAGTTAAAGCTGAAAAGGTTTCTTCTTTGTTGAAACACCCCCCCACACACACACATATACACACTAAACAAAATAGTGGCCCTTTTCTCTGCTAGAACTAAGACTTGAACCCACATCTGTTTGTATCCGAAGGCTGCGTTTTTTTGTTTGTTTTGTTTGTTTGTTTTTGAGACAGAGTCTCACTCTGTTTCCCAGATGAGAGTGCTGTGGCGTCATAGCTTACGGAAACCTCCTGAGTAGCTAGGACTACAGACACCCACCACAGCACCTGGCTGTTTTTTAGACAGGGTCTCATTCTTGCTCAGGCTGGTCTCAAACACCTGATCTCAAGCAATCCACCCACCTTGGCCTCCCAGAGTGCTAGGGTTACAGGTGTGAGTCACCACACATGGCCCTAAATAAAAACATTTACTGTGACTCAGGTATCGTCCCTACCTTCTTGAAGCAGGTTGCCTCAACAACCTGTTGGCTACAACCAATGGCTCAACCTAAGCCTGTGACAACCTCATTCTACAATTGAGGAATAAGCTAAGGGGCAATAGGAATTTCTCCAAGGCTAGTGGCTAGTGCTAGTAAATGCCAGAACTGAGATAATAATAGATTTGGAATCTGCTTGACTCTAGGACCTGTTTGATTTCTTATAAGTTCTTCTTATTTTCAGAGCAATACAGTTAATATTTATGTAAAAGAAAAACTGTTTAAGGTAACCACCTTAAACATACCACCTATCCAAAAGGATAGGAAGGAATGACTTTCAAACCAATGAAAATAAGGTGGAATTTCACTTAAAGTTGGTGGTGGTAGGGGGAAACAGAGTAAATAATATAAAATGAGGCAAAAATAAATCCAAATATATCCATAATCATAATAAATCTACATAGGAATATACTCTCCAGTTGAAAAACAGAATGAAAGGTTGGGATGTGTGTTGATAAGCCATACATGTAAACCTAAGGCTATTAAAAAATGTGAAAATTAAAACACAGAAAACTATATTCATGCGAATATTAACTTTAAAAAGTAAACTTCACAGCAAAAGCAGTATTAGAGATAAAAATAGTCACTGTGTAAGATAAAAAGTATATAAAATTCTATCTTTTCTGTGTATATCTTATAACAGTCTCAGACTATTGGTAAAACTATCAAAAGAAATTCACAAATCTATGATTATAATGGGAAATTTCAAGACACCTTTCATTGAGTCAAGCTATACACACAAAAAATGAATCAAGGCCTATAAAAATTAAGCATTGCAGTTAATAAACTTGATCTAATGGATGTGTATGTGTATATAATTAGAGAATACATATTTTTTTCAAGCACATGGAGAATTACAGAAATTAATCATGTCCTAGTTCATAAAGCAAGTTGCAGCAGACTACAAAGAACTGGTATCATACAAAATGCTCTTCTCTGATTCCTATTAGATGTCAATAATAAAAAGATAAATAATCCTCACATGTACGTCTACATAAGTTCTAGATAAATGAAACATAAATCTTGGAATTTAGAATATACTTGGAAGTGGATAATAATGAAAAATTTCTGACATGTACGGAGTGATTTTGGGAAAGTTTATGTTAGAATAAAAAGACAAACTAGAAATGGTAAGTCAAGCTTCTTAAAGAAAAGTAATAGTAGAGGCCAGGTACAGTGGTTCACACCTCTAATCCTAGCACTCTGGGAGGCCAAAGTGGGAGTATCATTTGAGGTCAGGCATTTAAGACTAACTTGAGCACAAGATCAAGACCTCTGTCTCTACCAAAAATAGAAAAAATTAGCTGGGCACAGTGATGTGTTACTCAGGAAGCTGAGGCAGGAGGATTGCTTGAGCCCAGGAGTTCGAGGTTGCAGTGAGCTATGATGAAGAAAATGAAAGAAGGAAAAGTAACAGCATAATTGAAGAAAATGGTAAAGATTAGAGAAGAACATAATGAAATTTAAAGATAATACATTAGAATGGAGACACACAGCTTGGCACTCATAGCTCAGTGGTTAGGGTGCCGGCCACATACATGGGGCTGGTGGGTTCGAACATGGCCCGGGCCTGCTAAATAACAATGACAACTGCAACAAAAAAAATAGCCAGGCATTGTGTCAAGCACCTGTTGTCCCAGCTACTTGGGAGGCTGAGGCAAGAGAATTGCTTAAGCCCAAGAATTTGATGTTGCTGTGAGCAGTGACATCACGGTACTCTACCGAGAGGGACATAGTAGGACCCTGTCTGAAAAACAAAAAAAAAAAGAGTAGGAACCCATGCACCTTTTAAGTTATTGTTTCCTTTTGAGCTGGTCTGAAACTCCTAAACTTAACCAATCTACCTGCGTCGGCCTCCCAGAGTGCTAGGATTATACCCGTGAGCCACTGTACCTAGCTTATAAATTGGTCTTTGAAAAGACTAATAACAGGATTGTGTCTCAAAGGAAAAAAAGTAACAGCAGAAATTAAAAATAATAAGAAAAAAACTGTCCTACATTGACAGTTTGACAACAATTTATACTAGATATCCAAAGAATACCATGTTAAAAATTTAAAATTCTTCCAAAAAGTAGAAAAAGATGGAAGATTCCCCTACTTATTTTATGAGAAAAGTACAAACTTAATACCAAACTCAGACATGGACAGTATAGGAAAGAATATTAGAAAGTATTCTTTTATAAACATAGATGCAGAAATTCAAACAATATTAGCAAACCCAATTAAACAGTATACCTAACAATATAGATCTAAGATAATGCCTTATGACAAATTAAAGGAGAAAGGCCATTAAATTAACTAAATAAGTAAGAGAAAGCTTTTAGTAACATTTTATACTTACCAATACCAATGACTTTAAAGGACTAAGATACAAATTATTAAAATTATTAACTCAGCAAGATTGCCAGATATGACGTTATAATATGGAAATCAGTTGCATTCATATCCCAAAATCCCAATAAGAAAAATATTAACTTTTTAAAAATAATAAACATAGTGACAACAGAAAGTACAGTAGGTAGAGGTATATTAGGGATAAATTCTACAAAAGATACACAAGACTTTCATTTAGAGAAAATTTGAAAACTTTATTGAAAGATGTTAAATGTAGAGGCATATACCATATTTAGATAGATAGACTCGGTGTCATGAAGCTGTAATTTGATCACACATTAGTCTAAATAGTTAATACTCCTCAATCAAACTTCAACTAGTTTTTTTCTATAATTTGACATTGATTCTAAAAATACATAAGGATCAAAGGGTAGAGGGCCAAGAATAGTCAAGACACTACATGAAAAAGAACATTATGTTGGCAGGACTTGTCTTGTATGAGTTTATTATAAGACCATGTTAATTAAGACGGTATGGAAATGGGAAAGGCCAGCCAATGGGACAGAATGTAGTTCATAGACATTAGTACCTGTATGTTGGTTAAAAGCATGGACTCCAGAGTTAGGACTCTCAAGTTTTGATTTTCAGTCCTTCTGTTAATTTACTGTATTGATCTTGACCAAGTTACTTTCTCAGTCTACAAGATTAGAAAATAATAACCACATTTATAGAGTTAAGAGTTAAAACGAGCTAAGTTTTGGCATATAATAGAGGCCATATAAATGTTTGTTGAATAGAATAAATGAAAATAATGATTTGCTAGAGATGGGCCTTGCTGTTTAGTAGACAGGGAATGAACTGTTCAGTAAACAGTTCTGGGATCAGTTGGTTATTGATATGTGAATCTCTGTCTTAGATTTGAAATAAACATCAATTCCAGGTTAATTGAGGAAAGAAAATCAAAAAGTAGTGAGGAAAGAAAACAGGGAAATGTTTTTGACCTTTTGGTAAGAAATTATATTTTATCTAAAATACACCCTCCCCCCCGAAAAACTTAAAGATTGATAAATTTAGCTATATTAAAATTTAAAACTTATTTGTTTCATGATACTGCAAATCAACCAACAACACAGCTTTAGACTGAGATTGTTTTTCATGACAATAAAGGTTTGGTATCTGAAATAGTAATCTCCTTCATTGATTTTCTGTAATGCAGTTAACTCATTGCATTTGATAAACAGGAGAGTGAAGACAATATAATGACATGGTCTTATTGGTTGATACAAAGTATTTCCCAGCACATTAATGTTTTGCTCCACTGAATTAACAGCAAGACAAAAGCACATATGCTAACACAGTAGGCTGTGCAAGACTATGGTATTATAATGAATTCCATTTCTGTATATTCTTGCCTTAAGTTTATAGTAAAGGCTGTGGCCTTTATTTATTTCTTATTTATTTTTGTTTATTTATTTATTTGTTTGAGGCAATCTCACTTTGTCACCCTTGGTAGAGTACCGTGGCATCATAGCTTACAGCAACCTCCAACTCTAGGGCTCAAGTGATCCTATTGCCTCAGCTTTCCAAGTAGCTGGGCCTATAGCGCCTGCCACAACAACACTGAGCTATTTTTAGAGAGGGTCTTGCTCTTGCTCAGGTTGGTCTTGAACTCCTGAGCTCAAGCAGTCCACCCACCTCGGCCTCTTAGAGTGCTGGGATTATAGGCACGAGCCATCGCACCTGCCTTTGTTTTGTAGGTGCTTATTTCGCAGTTCTCTTGTTTTGTGCATTGGCTTTTGTCTCCATAACTCAGCAGTCTTGATCCTCCTTCAACTTCACCATTTTTAAAAGCATATTTATAAGGAATAAACATGTCTTTGTTCTGGTTATAAAACTGTGTTATTTGAGTGATCTGCCTTTAAACTGATTTTCCCCCATAATTCCTGTTACTTTTTTTTTTTTCTCATTTTGTCGCCCTCAGTAGAGTGCCATGGTGTCACACAGTTCACAGCCACCTCCAACTCCTGGGCTTAGGCAATTATCTTGCCTCAGCCTCCCAAGTAGATGGGACTACAGGAGTCTGCCACAATACCTGACTATTTTTTTGTTGCAGTTTGGCCAGGGCCAGGTTTGAACCCGCCTCCCTCAATATATGGGGCCGGCGCCCTATCCACTGAACTGCCCAATTCCTCTTACTTTGCAATTTTGTGGAAAGCAAGGTTTATCACAAACATGAATATTGAATTATAGCTGAAATACCTGTATGATAGCAAATCTGTAAGAAAAAGACAAATCAAATAGAAAATTTGGCCAAAATTGAGGAAACCCCAAATAGTCAAAAATATACAAATACAGATATACACTTTGTGGATAACTATAATAGCTATGTGTAGTACATATCTTAAGTCAGTAATTTCACCTTTAGAAATTACCTAGAGAAATTTCATCTATAGAGAAATTCTCAATCTTTTGCTCTAAGACAGTGTTGCAAACCAAAGTGCAGCTCCAAAAGGACCTAAGTAGCTTGTGCCAAAATATAAATTAGCACAATGCTTCATTCATTGAGAAAGTCTTACTATGATTTTTTTTTTTTTTAAGTCAATTGTTAGGGCCAGGCCAGGTGGCTCATGGATTGTGTAATCCTCGCACTCTGGGAGGCTGAGGCAGGTGGATTGCTTGCGCTTAGGAGCTCGAGACCAGCCTAAGCTAGAGTGAGACCTTGTCTCTAAAAATAGCTGGGCATTATTGGGGCACCTGTAGTTCCAGCTACTTGGGAGGCTTGAGGCAAAGAGGATCACTTGAGCCCAAGAGTTAGAGGTTGCTGTGAGCTATGATGCCACCTCACTCTACCAAAGGTGACAAAGTGAGACTGTCTTGAAAAAAAGTCACTTGAAACAGTGATTGGTCACAAAACTAATTTATGTTCTGGGGCTATAATCCCAGCATTTTGGAAGACTGAGGCAGGAAGATAGTTTGAGACTAAGAGTTTCAGACCTACCTGAGCAACATAGCAAGACCCCAATTTACAAACAATAAAAAAATCAAAAATTTATATTCTGGTGCAAGCTCAAAGAATTTTAATAGCATAATTGAAAATTTTCATTGGTAAAAAAATGGATATATAAATTGTGGCATACTTAATATGGTGGAATACTATACATAATGAAAATATCAAAATGAGACATTTACTTACGAACAATTGCAAATCTCAAACAAATTGAGTGGCAGAAGCAAATTAGAAAAGATGTAATGCCATTTCATGGTAGCATTTATATAAAAATTAAAACATGAGAACAGTGCTATATGTTGTTTTAGGATACAGACATCCAGTTATGGAGTAAGAAAATGCCTAAGAATGAAAAGAATGATTTCCCTTTGGGACTGTGAGAAGCATAACAATAAAAATAGTTTAGAATGGAACATACATGGATTGATAGCAGAACATATGAAAAGGTCCTATGGTTTTAAATGATTACTTCTCATGATGAGCCAGAGGTTCATGGTTTTAAAATAAGAAGCACCCATTTTAGGTTATACATAGCTGCTATTCAGATGTGAATTAACACATCTGGAGTATTTTGTTTGATTCTAAGTACTTCATATTAAGAGGTATTTTGGTAGACTAGGGCATTCTTAGAGCTCTAGAGCAGGCTGAAAACAATTTCATCCCCAAATTGGGAATTTATTTAGAGAATAAAAGTCTTAATGACAACAGAAATTTAGATATTTGAGGCCAGCACAGTGGCTCGTATAATTCTAACACTCTGGGAGGTTGAGGCAGGAGGATTCTTTGAGCTCAGGAGTTTGAGACCATCCTGAACAAGGACAAGACCCCTATTTCTACTAAAAATAGGAAAATTAGCCACACATTGTGGCAGGAGCCTATAGACCCAGCTGCTCAGGAGGCTGAGGCTGGAGGATCCCTTGAACCTAGTAGTTTGAGGTTGCTATGAGCTAAGCTGACATCATTCTAGTCTGGGGCAACAGAGTGAGACTCTGTCTCAAAAAATGAAAGAAAGAAGAGAAAGGAAAGGAAGAAATTAAGATATTTGAAAGAAGGTGGATAAGGTACTTCACCTCTTTTTAATTTCATCTATCAATTTCACCTACCAACCCATGTATCAGGATAGAAGAGTGATAAATATTAATTTTGCCCTTCAGCATATGAGCCAAACCTTGTGGCTTTGTGGCGTATGCAAATTTGGCATATTTCATGAATGAAAATGTTGAACAGTATGAATCCTAGTAGGATAACTCACTGGTAGGCAAGTTGCTTAACCTTTCAAGACCTATATAGCTCTGTAAAATAGAACTTCATATGATGATGGAAACATTTTGTATCTACTGTCCAGTAGAGAAGCTGTGAGCCATGTCACCACTGAGCATTTGAAATAATATGGCTAGTGTGACTGAGGAACTGTATTGCAGGGTGGGATAGAATTAAAATAAATATTTAATGATCATACATAAATATGATCTCTTTAAAATGTGATGAAATTTTGGCAAGGATTAAAATTTAAAAGCTATTTTTTATTATGTTGATAGGTGAAACGAATAAGTTGGTATATGTATAAATAACTATTATATTCATTTATACATATAAAAAGAGAAATATGGGCAGCACCTGTGGCTCAGAGAGTAGGGTGTCGGCCCCATATGCCAGAGGTGGCAGGTTCAAACCTAGCCCCAGTCAAACTGCAAAAAAATAGACGGGTGTTGTGGCAAGTGCCTGTAGTCCCAGTTACTCGGGAGGCTGAGGCAAGAGAATCGCTTAAGCCCAAGAGCTAGAGTTTGCTGTGAGCTCTGATGCACAGAACTCTACCGAGGGTGATAAAATGAGAGAGACTCTGTCTCTAAAAAATAAAATAAAAAGAGAAATATCTATCTAAATTTGTCACTATATTTTGAATATTGGTAAAGTGATAGTTTTTTAGCTTGTCTCTTGGGGGATAGTTTTGTTTGAATTTTAAAGTACTTCATAGCATAATTTTGCAAAGATTTTTTTCCTTAATGGCTTAAAATAATTAAAATGTAATAAATATATTCTTATCTTACATTTGCCACATATTACCATTAAAAATAACTGATTTTTTTTTTCTACAAAGATATATTAAAGACAAGAAGTAAGCATTTTATATTGTGGCTGTGATGATAAACATAATTAAATGTATTTCATTTTTCTGATTTTGTTCTTTTCTAGCTGCATAGATGAATGGTTTGAAGTAAATAGATCCTGCCCTGAGCACCCTTCCGATTAAGCATCAGATAATGGTTTTATAGGTAATTCTTTCTTTTTGTTGTTTTAATTGCTTTTTAAGGTATTACTCTGAATTATACATTCTTAACCTTTGTTTTTATTCATTGAAGCATGCGCATGTATGTATGCATGTACATACTTTCTGACACTTTTATTAGGCTACTACATAGAAAACATTTAAAAATACATTAAAAACAACTTTAATCTTGCTGAGTCATATGGCAAGAAATTGCTACATTCTTGTTATTTTAAAACACATTTGCTTATTTAATTTTAACACTAAACAAAACCCGCGTATGATGTTATTTTCCCAGTGAGAAACCTGAGGGTCAGAGTAGTTAAGTTCCATGACTTTAAAGAAGTGAGTAGTACCAAACTCATCAAGGAGCGGGGTAAAAAAAGCAGGTTGCATCAAGAGTCCAAGGTCATGCAGTTTAGCCAATAGAATCAAATTCTTGTCCTAACTTCCCAGCTGTGTTCTTAGGTAATATGGTTCTGATCATTTAACATTATGTGCCACATATTGTTCTACAACATTTTATATTCGTTAATGACTCATCTAATTGGTATAACAATCTTTTGAGCTCAGTATTACTATTCCTATTATGCAGATGAAGAAATTACGTATAGAAAGTTTATAAAACTTGATTTGTGAAGGTCAAATAACTACTTTGTTGGAGGACATATGATTTTAACCCAGGCATTCTGGCTGCACGGACTGTTCTTAGCAATTTTACTATGATTAATTAGGAGCATTTTCTTTTAAAAGTTAGATCTTGGATTCATTCATTCAATTTAATCATTCACCTTAGCATGTCCTTAACATGTGCTGCAGTGCTTGTCTATGTAATGGGCAAAAAATAAAATTGAATTGAGTTTGAAGACTGAATAAGGCATAGTTTTGCTCTACTGATTTAGCTTATTCATTTTTTTTGTATTATCTGAAAATGTTTAGTGAATTAAATGATAACCTCATTTGGATATTGCTTTTTTTCATATTTCACGAAGTCAATTAAATGGCATCATTTCGCTTTGAAAAAATAAAGATTAACTTAGTTGCTGTCTTTAAATGTATGAAAAGATTTGCAGAAATGATATAAAGCACTGGATTCTTACATCAGAGCAGAACATTTTAGCTAATCCTGGAATTGTTTCTAAAGGCGTTCAGAGACTCACGACAGTAACAGACAACGTGGAAGGCTGAGACTGAAGACAGGGAACAAGAGCAGTTAATGTCCTGAGGTCTAGTCCTGTGCTATCCCTAAATTTGCTCTTATTTCAATAACTTTTGCTCTTAAACTTGAGAGTGTAAGTCTTGAGGTAATAAATATACCCAAGGAATTCTATTGCTTTATTGATGAGGATAATTTAAGATCAGCACATGAGAATATTGACAAAAGAGATTTGAGGTAACTTAAAGCAGCCATAGCAACTAAAATGATAACTGCAATTGAGTGAAATCTCTGTCATATTAAAAGCAGGGCTGTTTGTGTGAAATGTGAAAGCCCTGGTAAACTGTAGAGCAGGGGTCCTCAAACTTTTTAAACAGGGGGCCAGTTCACTGTCCCTCAGACCGTTGGAGGGCCGGACTGTGAGCCCCGGGACGAGTCGGCGGCTAAGCAAGACAGGCAGCGGTGGCAAAAACACCCAGCGGGCCAGATAAATGTCCTAGGCAGGCTGCGTGTGGCCCTTCAGCCATAGTTTGAGGACGCCTGCTGTAGAGTATTAAAAGACTATCAGCTTTTGAACCTTTTACTGGTGGTAAAGGTTCAAAAGCTGATAGTTGGAAAAGGTTCTTTGAAGAGAAAAATGCGTTGGAATGCCTTTATTGTGAGTTTGTGTCTGAGCCTGTGAAATGAACTGTGCTTAAAATTATAGAAGCATTTTAAGAGAAGACCTAAAATCCCATGCTAATAAAATGAAATTTCAATTATAGTATTTTGTATGCCACAGTAACGTGTCTCCTTCACCTATAGGTATCTTTAAAATTTAGAGTCTGTCTTGGTACATTTGGGCTGCTATAAGAAAACACCTTAGGTAATTTATAAACGACAGAAATTTATTGCTCACAGTTCTGGAGGCTGGAAGGTCCAGGATCAAGGTACTAACAGATTCAGTGCCCCCTGAGAGCTCCTTCCTCATTTACAGTACCTACTGTGTGTCCTCACATGGCAAAAGAGGCAGCAGACTCCCTTAACCCTCTTTAATAGGAACTCTAATCACGTTTATGAGAGCAGAGTCCTCTTGACCATATCACCTCCCAGCAGTTCCACCTTTTAATACTCTTACAGTGGAATTTACAAATTTGTGGAGGGAACACACATTCATGTAGATTTGGTAAATTTTTTTATGGTGTGGAAGTTTTTCTTTTATCATTCAAATAGCTAAATTTTTCCTTTAGTGTCACAGTGATCTGCTGGGATATGTAGAACACACATCTCATCTCATAGTCAAAATATATATATGTCTGTTGGTCTTATATAGCATTTTCATTTTCTTCTGTTACATGTCACCATTTTCTTTTCCTTTTTATATATAGAAGGTGAATTTGCAGCTAGTCTACTGTATAGAGCAGGTTGAACTGCTTAGCACTCACAGAAATCGGAACCAATGAGATCTGACTCTAGGGGCCTTGAAGAGTCATTTTTAAGAATTTATGGATATGAAATATCTTAACTCTTTCACATTTTTTGCTTCTGTCCTGACTACTCTTATTTGTCAAATATATTCTTTGTATACTGTAGGCAGTCTTACATTAACAACGTGGATTTCAAGAGGAATCAGTATTGTTAAAAACTATTTTTAAAATGGCAACAAAGCCTAGTATTTCTGTTATCCTTCAGCATAAGAATTTAATAATCAACTCCAAATAGAAATACATGACTATTTTGTTAATCCTGATTAGTTAGGAAATAGTTTGTTCTTCTTACTTTGGAATTGTTAGTTATTTGGGTAAGATATTATTAAAAAATTAAGTATGGGCAGCGCCCGTGGCTCAAAGGAGTAGGGCTCCAGCCCCATATGCCGGAGGTGGGGGGTTCAAACCCAGCCCCGGCCAAAAACTGCAAAAAAAAACCCCAAAAATAAAAAAACAAGTATGTATGCATTTTTACTTAGATATAGTCTTTATTATGGAAGGGGAATGAGTTTGTTATGTACTTGATTTTTTTTGGACTATTTTAAGCTTTAATTGGTCCTTCTGTGTTTTAATCTGTTCTTTAGCACACTATATAAGCTTTGGGAATAGTAAGAGATTTACAGTTTACAGTAACTATGGCAAATAGTCATAGGGAAACGGATGTTACATTTTGATTAATATTACTATTACAAACCACTGTTTAAACTAAATTTATCTGTTATTACACAGGTTTTCTTGTCTTCAGGATGCTTAAAAAACTGAGAGGATAAGAAGATACGTCTCTGAAGAAACAAAACGTGGGCATACTCAGCCAGAAGTCTGAGTTTTGTGAGACTTGGTAATACAGAGATGGACAATCATATAGGAAAAAAAAACCCTGCTGAGGAGAGGACAGTTACCACAGAACTCAGTGTACCAAACATGCATATCAAGGACACACAGGGATTTTGAAAATGCTGCACATCCCTTAATAGTCATCTACATAGGTAATACTGATAAACGTTTTGTATTCAGACGCCAAAGTTAACTGATTTAAAAGTTGATTTACTTTTTATTACGTTCTCTAGAGCTGCGCAACTAGTTGTGTTTTGATCTGTTTTGTTTTTTAGTTTGGGGTCTCTTTATTTTCCCCAACATAGTGTTCCTACATTCATCTATTCGTAAGTTGAAAACCACATAATTTGCATCTTATAAATTAAAGTCTTAAATGTGAAACCAAGAAATGTAATCAAGCAGTAAAAGCATTCTCTGAATGTAGACCATGATGTCAAGTTCTTCCATTTTTCTTTTCCCTAAGAGTGAAAAATAAGACTTCTATATGGGAAAGGTAAAATATGTCAAATATTTTTAATTTGAAGGTTTAATATTATCAGAATGCAGTCCAAAGAGTAAATCAAGTTACATAATTACATCTTAATTAATTAAATGTAGAATTGTCTACTGAATTTCAATTCATTAAGTATATTGTTTTCTCTTAAATAAAACTGGTCAACAGGTAATCAGCAGTGAATCATCTTGCAGCTATGCAACTTTTTAAAAAAATACAAATTGCAAATTTTAAGTGTTGCCAGCTACAATAACTTTGTTTTAACGGGTACTTTTTGTTTGTTCTTTTCATGTCATGATTTTGTTGTGCTTTGCATTCTCCAGGTAGTTTTCCCACATTTGGGTAGAATGTTAAGCAGGTTGTAAACTTAAGAAGGAGAAGGTAAAATAAAATTTTTTGGAGTGGAATTTTGAATAATTCAAGGGAAATTTTGTATACTTTTAAACATCAGAATTTAATTGGGATGCCAGATTTATAGCAATTTGCATTTTTCTGGATAATCTGGTTAGCATTTGATAATGATTTTTTCAAAGCAAATATGAAGATTTTGTTAATTTATAATTTATTAATACGTTATTTCTGTAATTGAAAATGTTATAGAAAGAGTCTTAAATTCAGTTTCATGTAGAGAGAAATGTGTTAAACAAAATTATGTGAATAAATAGTCCTACAAAATACATCTGAATGATTGCAAATACTGGAAGAGAGCTGTCAGGGCTACAATAGTGAGTGTCTTTTTTGTTTAATATCAAAAATACCAATAAGTAGATTTCCTGTTTTCAGCATAGGGAAAATGTCAGTGACTAGGTAGTGCACTTTACTTGGTATAACTGAAAGCTGCACAGTACTGTTTCCTTTTTTGAAGCTCTCTTTAAAGTATTTCAAAATTTGCTTTTTTATTTAATGCTGCTATTCTTCTCTAATTTTTTTCCCCTACTTCATTGCTTCTGTTTCATATTTTTGAAAGGGCAAGTACAGGAGCAATTGCTGCTACCCAGAAAAATTTGTGTATTATAAATAATTAAAAAGTTTTTAATTGCTTTCTGTGTCATTCTAGATCAGATAACATTTTCTCTAAAGTTATGCTGTGAAATGCCTTTTGTTATGCTGCAATTGCTAAAAGAATCCAAAACCTCCATTGTGACAGCTGACAGCACAGTTTCATAGGTGCTTTTCAATCAGTTATGGAAAATATTCTTCCCTCAACAGAAATATTAGAAATGTTTTTTTTCTGTGGTTATGAAATCTTAATTTGAATTTATTTTATTTCACATTTTTAATTTTGTAAGCTTTTATCCTTTCCTGCCCAGCCCTGGCAAGTAAAACCTCTTACTTAGAATGTGAATAGTTGATTTGTTTTCTATTATTGGAATATGGCAATAAGAATTATTTTGTCTTCTGTTCTTAAAGGAAGAGACTGACTAGAGCTATGGTATTTAACTGTATTCTCTATCACAGATTTTGTGATATAGTTTGCTTTTAACTATTATTTTCTTTTAACTATTGGCTTATGTTCACTTTTTCTTCTTTATCCTGCACCATGCTCTGGTAATTTACCCCATTTGTCATAAGGTTCTGTGCTGCAGCTGCTACAATAGAAGCTCCTTATGATTTTAAAGAAAGTTCAGTGTTTGGCAGTGTGAAGTACTACTTGATGATTATATTCATTTAGAACAGTATTTACTTAAGTTTGTTTATAGCAATCACTTTTTTGCCAGAATTTGCAAAAGTTAGCATTTTTTATGTTAAATCTCCATCAATGACTTCCTAAAAAGAACAGTTTAGAAATTAGAAAAAAAGTGTTTTTAAAGCCCAAATGCTTCAGTTTCTATTCAAAGTCAGAGTCATTATTCTGGAAAATATTATAAGTAATGTTCTGTATAATGTCACTCATAATATTTGTGAATCTATATGCAAATACTAGAATAGTGTAAGTAGGACATGAAATCATATTAGATATTTAAATATTTAGCTGAGACTACTGATAACTAAATAATATGGGGACACGATAAAGATCAAAAGCCTAGGTTATCAAGTTGGTTATAGCTTTCTAGAATCTTTGTAAATACTTGTCTTCAAATAAGATCACAGTACGTTTATAGAGAGCAGTATGTTCTGAAATTTCACTTTAGTGCCATTCTTTGTTCGTAATGGATTTATTGCCAATTTTGACTGCTCATCTTACTTTGATCTGGCTTTTTTTTTCCTTGCCAGAATGTTTAAAAGAAAGTAAAATTATTTTGTTTTACTTTTCAGCTCTTTGCCAGAGAAATAGACTAAGCATAGTTTTAATATACGTTTTTCAGATCTGGTTACAAATCAGATTACAGGTTGTATTTTAAGAGCAATATTGTGATTAAAATATAAATAATGATTTTTATAACTGATTTTTTTGTGATAGCAAAAACAACATTAGAAAGGTCATGTTACATAATATATAGGTTTTGGTTTCTTAGTGCAAGTCTTATATTTCTTTTAAATGTTATTCCTGTACTAAATGGGAACTATGTGGTCCTTTAGTCAGCTTCTCCGTGGAAAGTAAAAGTAAATGTTACTCATTTACTTCAGTTTTCACCCACTAGATACTTTATTAGAATGTAGCTGCAAAATGACTGAGGATGCTCTCTGCCTATCTGCAATGTGTATTTCAAAGATTTTAGTTAGAATGAGTTAATAAAAATGGCAGATTCCTTTTCAAAGCTTATTTGACTCACAACTATATTTCTAAGTTTGGGTATAGTGAATTTTAAGGGCAATCATTTAAATTAATTTCTTATAGCAAGGTATTAGGGATATTCCTTTAAATGAAAAAGGCTATAAATTCAGTATGAATAGTACCCAACTTCATGTACTAACCTGGTGAATAGAAGAAGGGAATTATCCCAGTAATAAGCTACATTTGAACACAGCATGAAACTCTGGGGCTTTTCAAAATTCAAGAATAATTGAATTTATCTTTTAATTGACATCTGCACTATGCATTGATAATAGTATATAAATCATTTTATTCTTTCACAGAGGAAGTTTCTATGTAAATTCGATTGTTGGGAACTATGTAAAACTACATAGACGTAAATGGTGTTTATTAAATTGAGTGATAAACTCAATTGCTGGAAGTCTTCTAGTGATCTAGGCAATTTTGATTTGTCCTGAGGTAACTCACTGTGTACTGACAGTGACTAAATGTGATGTGCCCTTGTTCTTGTACAGATATTTTCTTGGTTTACAAAAGAAAAAAAAAAAAACTCTAGTATGCCAATATCTTGTCTTTGGCGCATTCCCTTTTTTCCTGAAGTATATAACTGCTTATTTATTTTTTGCTATGTTGTGATTAACTAGTTAAATTATCTGTTTTATGTCTACTTTTCTTTTCTACCCAGGTCTCTTCATTCTGTAACTAAATTGCTGCTTGGTTTTCTTTATCTGAAATTGCTACTTGGTGTACCCCTAGTAGTGAGTCATGTTCAGGAACAACTGGTAAAACATTTTTGGTAATAATTCATCCAAACAATACTTTGAGTACCATATTCTGTGAATGACATGCTCAAGCTAGGAAACTGGATAGTCTTTTTAAATCATAGAATTCCTGTATTAAATGGGAACTATGTGGTCCTCTAAGTCAGCTTCTCTGTGGAAAGTAAAAGGCATTGGAAAAATACCAGATATATTAATATTTAGTTTTAGTTGAAAATGCAACCCTACTGTATTTAGGGAAATTGGTTTATTTTTAGATATTTAAGCTATTGTTAATTTTAGATCAATGGCTAATAGTAAAATAGATTTTTGGTGCTTGTCTATAGAGAAACAAAGAACAGCATGGCATAACTAACATCCCAGAAATAGATGAAACGTTTTAAGTGATACTGCAGTATCTGTTAACCACTGTTGTGTTTCTTAACTCTGCCCTCAACAATTAGCTGTCTGACCCCTAATGTTGGCACCAAAAATGATTGTTCTCCTATTACTAAATTCTCATGCCTTTCTGCTGCTTTGGTAGATTAAAATTGATAGGCACTGATGATTTATGTTTGATAAACTTAAGTTCTGTCTGTATCTCATACAGTAAACTTGGTGCCAGAATCTTTAAAAACATTCATTATGGGTCAAAAGTATCTCGAGTACCTGTGTGTATACAATATGGTTAGCAGATCCTATAGTGAGATAAAGAGATTTTTGAACTTTAGTGATGATATTGATCTTTATTACACCAGTTCATTACATTTTATTTCTTTGTGACAACTTTTTATGTGGATTTTGTTGAAAATTTTGGTAATAATAGGTATTTAGCTCTATTGCTTTATTCATGGTTTCCACAACTCTTGCTGTAATATCTCTTATTTCTTCTATTCAAAAGTATTTTCATGTTAAATGAGGTATCAAAAATATCAATCCCAAAAAACAGAGAAAATGTGGTAGGAATAACTTGTATTAGAATATTCAAAACTAAAATGGAAGAATTCATTATTAATATTTTGATAAATAAAACTTCCAAATGATATTACTAAATTATCCCATTATTTAGAAATGAAAAAACAGGGAAAAATGCTTTTAAGGAAATTTGTCATATCCTCCCTATGTCTAGAAATTGAAAAAATATTACAATAAAACTTGAGAATTTCTGAATGCTGAAAATTACACAAATTAATTAATGTTATGTCTTTATTTTTGTATACCCATTCGCACAAAATTGAATCCAGAGTTATTAGTTAAAATTCCGTAATAACTTAAGAAGTGACTGACTGTACTAGTAATGGACAAAAAGGTCTGTCTTGATTACCCCAACCATAATTAAAGATGTACTTTGACGTTTCTAATATAAAACCTATGTATAAATTTTGTAATTGATATATGATTGGAGAGCTGTTAAGTTTGGGGAAGGAATGATCTAGTGTGTAATCAGTAACATTTTAAATTTAGATTATATTTAGCAATATTCTATTATGTTTCCAAAAGCAGAGTAATAAATTTTTTGAAGCACAGGTTTCATGACATAAAAGATATTGGTTAGTCTGAGGTAGAATACATGTATGTAAATACCAGACACAGTAAACACTTAACGTTAATGGCCAGTATACATATTTATGAATATTTATGAAATATTTGTGCCTATTTATGAATAATTTTTATTATTATTGCCAGTCATGAGATATATTCTAAGACCTCATCTAATGTGTTTAAAGATGCCGAGGTATAATAGAGAAGATTATAGGTTCTGATTTCATTCTCACTAAAATCTAGTGACCTTACTCTTTTAGCAAATATACATTAAGTACTACTTGCTTCATTGGAGTGTTAGGGACCAAGAACATAGAAACAAAAGATAGCAGGTGACCTCTAGGAACTTAATTTTTAGTGGGTGAAACAAATAAGTAAATAAGCATGTAATAGAGAATAATAAATGCTGTGATAGATACAGGAGGCACAACAGAGAGTTAATAAACTCAAAGTAGACTAGAGAATGGTTAAATTTAAGAAAAAACAGATTGTAGCTCTAGAGATATGAATAAAGGAACATGAAATGGGAAGTTTGGGAATGGTATTCCTAAGCAGAAAGCTTATAAAGAAATGAGAAAAGCATGACACTCTTACCAAGTTGCTCTGTCTAGAGAGGCAATGAGATTAAGATCCTATAATTAGAGGATTTTAAGGAGGAAATGATAATCACATTTATAGTTAAGGTTAGAGAAGGCTGAGTTGGGAGGCAGAGAGACCTATTAGAAAATATGTACTAATTCAGGTGAAATAGTGAGGGGGCAGAACTTAAGCAATGGCAATAGAGAAAGCAAGGATGAAAGAACTTAAAGATGTAGACCATAGAATTGACTCAACTTAGTAGTCATTGAGATATTAGGCATGAGAGAAAACAAGACAAGGTAAACTTCTAGTTGTACTTTTTTCACATGTTAGAGGATTGTCTCCCTGGGGAAATCTGATCACTGATAAGAGTTTCTGCTGGAGAATTAGACATAAAGAACATAATAATAAAGTGAAGGAGCTGGATCTGAAATGGGAGCCAGAGCCTGGAGAGAGAAGCCACACAGGACTAA